GGCCATTTTGGGTGTCCCGGCGGCCATTTTGGGTGTCCCGGCAGCCATTTTGGAACCGCCGAACAGCTGTTCCCCCATCATAATGCGAGCGTGCCCTCGCATTAGCGATGGGGAAATCCGCATTGCAATGCGGATTCATCGTTCAACGGTGCGCTCGTTATGCGAGGCACCACTGTATGATGGAACATATCTGAAGTCACATTGGGCGAGAAGTTTGTGTTGGGGAGGGTTTCACTGGGATTGTGGCTGGTAAGAGGGTGTGTGTGAAGCTCCTCTCTGTCAACACCCCCAGCAAGGTGGACTGTCATTGAAAATCAATCTTGCACATAGAATTCAGTTTATGAAAATCTGCTATTGTACCCTGTAGCCAAGTAATATGTAGCTTGATGCGTTTCCTAGACATGTGCCAGAATTACCTGTGAATCCAGCCATTTGAACTAGAGCATATTGTCTTCATTTCCTTTTGATTGGAGATATTTTTGTGCATCACTCATGTCCATAAAGTCAGTTGCCTGGTTCTCTTTCAAGATGTTGGGAACTGATAGGACTTGGTTATACATAAGAAACAGTTCTGTGCATGATTTAAATAGAAACTTAAGACAGTTGTTTGAACTGTGTTCTTGAGCATAGTACAGTATGGCTTAGAAGCTGTTGCAGTAGAAAACCTATATGTAGCTCATTATGGACAAAGAAGTCAAAAGCACTGGACACCATGTGAAAGCTCAGTGTTTTTCTTCAGGAGCCAATCCTAGATTGAAGGCTTCCCTTCTAGCAGGAGTTGGTGGCCCAAATTTGTACCATGCCTTGGACTCTTTCAGAAACACTAGTTCAATTGAGCCTATCAATTCTGTTGCTTAAACATCCTGATAAGAGTGATAGCAACTCATGTCTTGCTACTTCTCCAAACCCAGTTACCCAAAATAAAGTTTTGAACTGTGAGATTCTTCTTTTTGCGAAGCACCAGAATCCTAAGACTAAATCTTATCTTCAAGGATTCTGTGCCTTTCAGTGCAGTCACACTCCTGTATTGAGCATGTCAGGTCAATCAGCATGTTGAGTTATGCCTTCCATGCCTTTTGAATTTTGCATGGTATAAGGGGATAAAGACTTCTGGAAGGGCAACAGAATGTGAGCAACCCTCCTGCAGGCATATTGTCTGCAATGTTAAATTAGCTCTGGAGTTGTGAGTGAATTAGCTCATCCTTGTACATTCCTATATAAATGAAAATGCATTACGAATATTGTGGCCCTGGAATAGGCAGTGGGGCTGGACATACATTGTCATCAACAATTGTGTAGTAGAATACTACTCTTTAAGTCTTAGGTTATGAGTAATCCTTGAAACTTTCCAGAGATTTGGACATACGCATCTGAGGATGGAAATGCCATTCCATCCTCCCCAATGGTTCTGCTGCTAGTGACTGATCCCTTGACAGCTTCAGCGGTCACCAAAGGAGCTTGATGCTGCAGTGGGCTCTGCCTTCGGGAGCCACAGGAATCTTCAGCATCTCTGCAACTAGGTGGTTGTCAAATGAACTGGGCATGTCCTTCTTTGCCTTTTTTTCACTAAGCAGTCCCTTATCTATGGTGTTTCCACCAGAGTTGATCATATCGCCACAAATGATTGATAATGATTGGGTAGGATGTACAGTGTTGCCTCGCCAGACGATAATAATCCGTTCCACTGAAATAGCTGTTTAGCGAAATCATTGTCTAGCGAAAAGCATTTCCCTATTGGAATGCATTGAAACCTGTTTAATGTGTTCCAATGGGGAAGAATCGTCGTTGTCTAGCGAAGATTGGCCATAGGAAAGCTGCTTTGCAAACCGCCGATCATCTGTTTAAATAGCTGTCTTGCGAAGCTTAGGTGCCAAAAACACCCGTTTTGCGAGCGCAGAGGGAATTGTCAAAATCGTTGTCTAGTGAAAATTGGCTTGAAAAGCAGGGACCAAACATTGTCCAGTGAAATTCCCCCATAGGAATCACTGTTTTGCGAATCGCTATAGTGATTGCAAAATGTCAATGTCTAGCGAAAAAAACTTTCATGTGGGGTAACCGTCTGTAGTTGAAACCCTGTTACCATTTTTAATCTTCCTTGTTTATGTTGTTGTTTTATTTTCCCCAGTAGGAAGTGTCCATACAGGGTCTACATTCCCAGCGATTCAAGGGACTTCCTTGACAAGCCTGTCTTCTCAACCCAGCTCCCTTGTTACAGGAAGCTTTCCATCCGAGGATGAGCAACACAGTCAGCCCGTGAGCCCTCAAGGGTTGCACTACCTCCATTCTGCTTATCGAGTTGGTAAGGACACCTTGTTGTAGCTCTGGCAGTCCACTTACCTGGGATCAGGAGCGCCGCTAATGTATGTAAAGATCCTGTGCTCAGGTTCCCTGGGATGGCATGCTAATTCTGACAGAGTGGAGTGACTTTAGTATGTCAGATCTAGGCAGAAACGGTATGGCAACAAGCCTTATGAGCAAATTATAGAACTTATAATAAATGAATCTTCAAGGGGATGTTAAGAGGGTGGGGGAGTTGTAGTATAAAAGAAACGAGGAAGCCAGTAGCATAGCATGAGTGTAGTGGTCCTCCAAACATTATGGGGACATGAATATTTGATCTGTTGAGGAAAGACTTGTCTATGATATTAAGAGGCCATGCTGCCAAAATTGTAAGAAAATAGATTAAAGAGTTGTTCCTCAGATTGGAGGAAGCATTTTGTGTAAAGAGCGTGACTTTTTGAGCAGGTTGGCTACGTTAATCATTTTCCAGAACTTTGAATTTCTGGATTTACTCTCATTGTTGGCTGCATAATGGGACCAACTGCTATAGCAGGAAGCTGTTAGGGGCATTCCCTGTATCCTCCTGGGTTCCCTTGCAGTTTTCTCTGCCCCCTTTTTTGCACTAGCATTATTAAAGACAATTAACAGAGAGGAAAGATTGTAGACCCATCACCAGCCGAGGACAAGGCTTCCCATGAACCTGACTATAACTGAAAATGGTGTGCGAATATTTCTGTTCAATAGAAGAAGGAAAAGTTCTAGTGGTGTGCGGTGGTGGTGGGAGCAGAGACATTTGTTTCTCTTACCTAGTGCTTCTTGGATGTACATTTCCTGACAACTGTTTTTCTTCTCTCTATACTCCACATTTGCACATTGGTAGAAAAAAAATCTGCTAAACTTTGAGAATGGGCTGCTGCTACCCCTCAAGTCTTGTGCATTTAAGCTTCATTTTCATGAGGTGTTTTACATTTGCTCTTCTCATAGGGATGCTGGCACTGGAAATGCTGGGCCGGAGAGCTCACAATGACCACCCTAACAATTTTTCACGCAGCCCACCTTACACAGAAGATGTAAAATGGCTCCTAGGATTAGCAGCCAAATTAGGTGAGTTCCAAAGTCAGAAGAGTAAAGACACATTTCATTTCAAGGTAGAAAGCTGCAGCTAGTCTTCTTGTCTAGTGTAACCATCTAGTGTTATTAACCAATTACCCTCTGGTCCCTGGGGTAAAATATAGCAAATACAGTCCCAGGATGCTTGGAGCACAGTATGTAACCATAATAGCCAATATGTAATAATCATAAAGCATTCCAAATTGAGCAACTAGAAGATCTGCGGCCTCTGTGCTGGCAGTGTCTCGGTGCTGTGGTTCTCAAATTTTGAGTCCCTGGGGTTCTGCTAACTCCTTGAAGCAATAGCCAACATAATAGTGGTCAAGCCTTCTGCAAGTTGTAGTCCAGTATCATCTAGGTGTATAGTCGGAACCACTAGCTTTATTTTAATGAGAGAGTTTGAATATGGGTTAGCTTTTCTTGTATCTTGTTTTAATTGCCCATAATGGTGGTAAAGGTTCCCCTTGACAATTTGGTCCAGTCATGTCCGACTCTAGGGGGCGATGGTCATCCGTCTCCAAGCCATAGAGCCAGCATTTGTCCGAAGACTGTTTCCGTTGTCACATGGCCAGCGTGACTAGACACAACACTGTTACCTTCCCACCCTGGTGGTACCTATTTATCTCCTTGTATTTTCGAACTGCTAGGTTTGCAGGAGCAGGAACAAGTGATGGGAGCTCACTCCGTCATGCGGATTCGATCTTATGATTGCAGGTCTGACCTTGCAGCACAGAGGCTTCTGCGGTTTAACCCGCAGCGCCACCACGTCCCATAATGGTGGTAGCCTCTCTCTTTCATTGTCTGACGTGGCATTATTGCTTTCTTATATTTATGCGGCATCTCTCTGCTCTAGTCATTTTCTACCTATTCTCCCTACCCACTGTAACCACCACTCTTCTTCTGTCAGGTGTAAATTATGTGCATCAGTTCTGTGTTGGTGCAGCAAAGGGAGTTTTGAGTCCATTTGTGCTGCAAGAGATCATCATGGAATCCCTGCAGAGGCTCAACCCTGCTCATGTCCACAACCACCTGCGCACACCAGCCTTCCATCAGTTGGTCCAGAGATGCCAGCAGGCATACATACAGGTACACATGCATCTTTCTTCTCAACTCAGAGACTAGCTACTTCAAATAAGTAGTCCAGCTTAATGAATCAGTGGCTTTAACATTTCTTGCCATTTCTGAAAACATGTTGTCTGACAGTGTAGGGACCATGCCATTATCTCAGTCACATTGCTTTTACTGAGAAATCTGGTTAAGTCAGTGCTGCTGTTGGTTATGCTAATGCAGTATAACCACATACTATCCCTGCTTTCTGTTTCACTTAAGCTTTGTTGAAGACGGGATTTTTTAATTTCTCCCTCTTGTTTTATGGAGAGAAATGGGTCAGGAAATAGAAATGGGTTCATTTTAAAATGGCTTCATTGGCCTAGAAGAAAAATAGCAGGGACTGTTATAGCCAAAGTTTTACTGTGGTTGAGAAGTGGTGACAGCTTTTGTGTGCAAAGCTAGAGTGTTGTGCCTACAGCTGCTACACCCCATGTTGGCCACCCATAAATGTTATTGGGTGATCTCGGACCACACATGCTACTCTCCCCCTCCTTACATGATGGCCAGAAGAAAAGATGCAAACTGTACCCTGTCCTGAGTTCCCTAGAAGGTGAGATAAATGTGCTGTTTGACTATACAGTGGTGCCTCGCTTAACGAGCGCACCGTATAACGAAGAATCCGTATAGCGATCCCTTTTTGGTTGTCCGCGGCCATTAAAATCGCTGGAAGGGTACGCCCCATGTTGGCCACCCATAAATCTAATCTCGGACCACACATGCTACTCTCCCCCTCCTTACATGATGATGGCCAGGAGAAAAGATGCAAACTGTACCCTGTCCTGAGTTCCCTAGAAGGTGAGATAAATGTGCTGTTTGACTATATAGAGATTCCTTAACAGGTTTCCTTCAAGGCCTTTTTGTTTCTTCATGAGAACAGTTGACAATACTGACCAGAGAGAACCATGTCCAGAATAATAATGTGCTATTTGTTCTTTCCTGTCTTTAGTACATCCACCACCGCCTGATCCATCTCACTCCAGCTGATTACGATGACTTTGTGAATGCCATTCGTAGCGCCAGAAGCGCCTTCTGCCTCACTCCCATGGGCATGATGCAGTTCAATGACATTCTCCAGAACCTAAAACGCAGCAAGCAAACTAAGGATCTGTGGCAAAGGGTTTCTCTGGAAATGACCACCTTCTCACCATGATGGCTTGGGAGTGCAACCCCCATCCTCCTTCAGCTAGAGCTCTGTCCATGACATCCTTCTTTATGGGATTTTTTTTTAATTTTAGCTGTTGGAAACCACTGGTCTCTATATATTTATACCATGACATTCCTCTTCCATGCAACTGTGCTCCATATCCTTCTTCTCTCCTCCCCAGCAGGTGGAGCCAAGCAAGCTGTTTTGGCTGTAAAAGAAAGTATGTGTGTGTGTGTGTGTGTATGCATGTGCGAGCCTGAGAAAGAGAGAATGGGGCTAAGGATTTGCTGATGACACCTGGTCAGTGCTTTCAGTGCCCTTCCTGTGTGCAGGTTGTTTTGAAAATGAGCACCTGTGTATGTGTGTGTGTGTGCATGTTAGAAGGTAGGGTGGAGCTGTCTCTTTAAAATATTTATTTTGGCATTTATAAATATGTATACTTTCTGTAAGATTCTAAAAACGTTTCACTCATTGCTGAGCCAGGACAGGCAGAATTTGCTTTCTGCACATGCTGGACTCGACCTCCCTCACCATTCTTTCCTGCAGCAGCCGCCCTGAGGAGTTCAGGCTGAAGTTGAAAGAGCTTCTCCCTTCGTGTTCAGATGAGCAAAGGCAGCTCATGTACATTCTGGCTTCAGGACAGTGTTTGAGCTAGCTGATGTGACTTCTTTGCTGCTTAAACATTGGCTCCAAAGAGTTTTGTCATCAGGCTTCATAGGATGATCTAACCATGGTGATTCTCAATTGTACAGTCATGTTACCTTGGCTGGGATGTTAGCTCTCCTGTAATCAGTTTCTTATTTCTTGTTTCAGTATCCTGATTAAAACACTCATTTTCTTAGACTGACTCTTTTCTCTGTATTTCTGTTAAACACTCTGAGAACATGGCAAACAAAAACATTCATATTTTTTTATTGAATAATCTGTGCTTGGGAAACTGGATGAAGGCCAAGCTTCAGTGCGGTATGAAACACATACTCCCTCAGCCAGCAGCAGTGAGCTGCTCTTGCACAGAGATCCAGTATCATTGTAGGCAGGCTGGTTTTGTGAAAGTGGTTGTGTGGGGTGGGGGTAGGGGTGTTCCACCTTAAGAACCTTGTTTGATGTATCTTGTTTCCAGCTCTGTCAAATGCCTTCATGCTGTGCTGGGAAAAACCTTGAAGCACTGGATCTGAATCTTTTTTTTGTCTTCCGGCAACTGTTATTCAGTCAAGTACAGTTCTTAGAGCTACAGGTGCCAGTCAGTGATCATTATTACTAGCTGTTAAAGAATTTATGCACGTATACCCCATCTTGTGGCAGACAATTCTACAAGTTGTTCATGCACTGTGTGATTTCTTCTCTCCTGAATCTACTGGCAATCAGTTCATTTGGGTTGGCTGAAGTTCCAACAGTTTAAGAAAGGGACAAAAATCTTGACTACTTTTTCAATACTAAGCAGAACCTTACAGTCTTAGCTGCAGGCTGTGCTAGCCATTGCTCATGGCTAAGGAAAATGCTCTCCCACAGTGAATAGTTTTGTATACTTAGCTCAGTAATCTAGCTTGGACATTTAGTCCAGATCCCATCAGCGGATGTATGGCGTTTAAAGTGTCTGTTAGGGGAGAGAACTGATTTTACAGGTTGCTGCTCATCCTGATAGTGGTTAAATGGTAATGGATAGTTGGATATTGTCCACAAAACTGCTACGTCACTACATCCCTCAAGTTCACTCACTCATAATGCCTTAAGGATATAAATGCTAGTATCTATGCTAACTGCTTACATTTTACAATATGGAAATTGTGTCCATTTATTCTATCTTTGTTTTCATGTTCTTAAAACAAGTTGTTCATCTCAAACTGCATTACTTCATAGATGATAAATTTATATGGGGGGATCTTTGAAAAGGGAGTTTGTTAAGAGTTTGCTGAAATTTCCTAGTATATGGAGTATTTACTAGACCTACCCATCTCTACCTTTGTATTCAACATACGCACAGAATCTTAAAAATGGTAGCCATTCTGCTTCTTTCTTGTTGGCATTCTATATATAATATTCAATGTAAAATTCAATGTTTAATGCCATTTTCCAGCAGTTTAGCTGGAAACCAATTTATGCTACTGGGCTTGCATTCTTGAGCTGCCTTGCTCAAACAACACAATGGTAGCATAGTTCAGCTCCTTACGGTCCAGTAAGCCACAACAATGACATGTTTCAGCTCCTTACCGTCCAGGAATAATATGGTTTGATGTCACGCCAAGTGCAAAAGGAATCAAATATGCTGATTAATTTACTGAACCAAAGCTAGAGAATTATCACTACAGCAACCTTTCCATAATTGATGGTTTCAAAGGTAACTCTTGCTCCAGTGTGATCTAACACTGAATATTAATAAATACAAGTAAAACTAATGACCATAAATTCATTTCACTTTGGAAATTTTTAAACAGTGTTTCATGTTTACTGCTGGTGTCACAATTAAAAAGCCTGTATAGTGCCTCCAAGCCAAGGCAACCCTTGGAAAAAGATAGCTATCTAGAAAAAACTATGAACTTTTTAATTGTTCTTCTATTGTTCTGCTATGAGCTGCAAAGTTTTTGCATATGTTATGCGATTTCTTGCAGGAATCTTACTCTGGTTAAAAAGTTATGATGGTAATTGGGATCACAGAGTATGCTAGAGAGAACATTTTGATGGCGTGGAGAGGCTTAACATACAAATAGGGGAAAAAGCCAGTCAAATTGTGATGCACAATACAACTAATACTCTGAAGACAGTGGTAGGAACACGTTGGTCCATTTAATGGCATGGAACTATAAGTTGTACTGGAATCACTTTGGCAACGTAAGTCCTGTTGATATCAATAGGACCAAAGTATGCCTAACCACCATCCTTGCTATTTCAAGAATAGTTTTAACACAGCATCTATCGGGAAAGGGTCTTAAGAGCTCTAACTGAGGCCTAATCCTGTAACACAAGAACTAATAGCATAAACCAATCGTGATGCTAGCTGTGATATGACAAGGTTTGAAGGTCAACACATCTGAAGTGCACCAAGCAGGGGTAAGGTGCATTCCTATATTGAACTGACTTGCATTGCCTTTTTTTGGTAACATCTTTGTTCTTGCTTCAGAACTTACCAACTGTATTGCATATTCTTTGTCACAGGGAAGCTAAAATTACAGGTATTAAGAAGAAACATTGTGTGCATTAAGCAAATGGATTTGTATATTTGGCAAAGTACAATGCTTGGTCACACTACAATAAGAGCCTGTCTTGAAAACTGCCCTTTTGGAAATGTTTCTTTAAATTTATTTTGAAGAATATTGTGTATAGTGGCTCTAGCAACAAATTCATCAAATTCCATTTTTCTTGACTTATCTTTTCCAGATTAGTGGTGTGTGTAAAAGGCTAGGCTTCCAGTTTCAAAAGAAAATGACTTACCTTATAATACCATCCTTTGATTTTAGCTATTTAAGATTTTGTTCAACATTTCTAGCTTCCTTTGCTTTGCCCTTTATCTGAGTATTCATTGTGCTGGTTTTACAGTGGTGCCTAACTGGCAATTAATGAGCCCCAAGTGGGATTCTCAACCATGCATCTCCCAAGATTCCTGAGGGCAACTTGTTAATTGCCAGCTGGGAGGCAATGAAATTTGCACTGTTTGCCTACTTGCATGCATAACACAGCAATAGGATTCCCACTTATGTGTTATCTCTTAACATATCCTGGTCAGGATTAAGTGGTGGGTTAATGCCTTCTCTTAATAGCTTGTCTGGAGATGACTAAAGTGACTCATGTTTAGGTCGTCTAGCTTTAATACTGCCTGCATTTAAATACCTACAACCTAGTGTAGAATCTCCTGCATTATCTATCCAAATATTCACTGCTAAATCAGATACCACAACCTCAAATTACAATGAAACAGAAATAAAGTAATACATTTATTGATTCCAAATGCTACGTCTAACCTTTTAGACATTGTGCTCAGCTGCAAGAGCCAAGAATTTATTCTTATCATTCAATGTGAATGACATTATACATGAATCCAGTGCAGGAAGCACAGCACTTGCTTCTCTTTTCAGCCACAGGTTTTTAGGTTTGCTGGTTCCATTTTTGGTTAAACAACATTCCCCTCTGCTGGGGGACACACTGAATGAAATATTATATAGTCCGTACTATATATTTACAAACAATGGTAAATTAACCATTAAAATGCACAATAACTAAGGCTCAATGTATAAGCTTGGCTGTAATCACCTTCCTCCCTGTTAGAATGGACTTAACTGGGTTACAGGAGCTCTCCCATAGTATCAACCTGTCAAAGCCATCTGCTAAATAACCCCTGTGAGCCTGGCACTTGTTATCTCGAGCAACTGCTGGATCACTGTGCATAAGGCATGACTGGAGGAATGGGCAGGGTTTCTGCTGTTTGCCACTCAGATAGATAGTGGTTGTAATGAGGAAATGGTAGGATTAGATCCTAAGAGCAGGCTGGGGCCTCACTGTTGTAGAGCTTGAGTCAAAATGGAGGATTTGGATGGAAAGACTTGGTTCTGCATTCTAACTCACTCATAATCACCATGCTATGTTAAAAATTAATAAGGAGGGACCTCCAAAAGAACAGCCTATGCCACAGACCCCAGGGAAGTCGCTTTCTTTTCTGTTGTCATTAGCATTATCAAGCCTCCCTGTACCTGCCACAACAGCTTTATCCCTCCTAGGAGAAAGTCTTTTATATTTCTGCTGCCTCATCACCTCCCACCTACCTTTGTCCCTGGCATAGAGTTAATAAAACAACTAGGGCTACAATCAGGAAAATGCAGTTTTCTGTCCATTACTAGCAATTCTGGAAACAGTGCCCTAAGAATCATATAAAGGAGCATTCACAATAATTAAGACATTCACTTGCAAACTTCCTGAGTATTTTGGACATCAGTAGTGAATGCCCCAGTAGCCTACACTTTTGCATGCTGCTGTTCTTTATGGGGTCTGGGCTTTCTTGCCTGGAGAAATCATAGCTTACAAGCATTCCTGTATCAGTCTTCCTAGATGTCTAGGGGTGGAGGATAATGACTGCACAATACCACATGCAACTCTTCTCTGGGGTCTCTCAAATGTATCAAGCTGTTAATACTTGAAGGTGCATAATCCACGCTCAGGCCACCACACTTACTGCTCTGTCCTCTTGATTCACTTTGAGCAGTGCGTGTGTGTGTATGCCTTGTCCCCAATGGCTCCCACATACAGGTACTTGGCAGCAGTGGGGGGCCAGCCCTTGCCTTCAGCTCCAGTTAGAATTCTGCAGTTCCTCTCGGAGCCATGTGGGAAGTGGCTGCCCCAACTTGCTGAGTAACTTGGATAGTTCAATGTTGTGCTCACGGTAGAAGTCGGCCAGGAACATGCGGGACTGCAATAGTACCAAAAGAAGCAATATTAATGTCTTAATAAAGGGTCACTGCCATTACTCCCCTCCCCCAGTTACAACACTGAAATAAATCCCAAGCTCTGTGTGGAGAAAATCCCCATTCAGCTACTCACTGAGGAATCCATTGCTGGATATTTTCTTCCTTTACTCTTCCCCAGGCACTTGGTCTTCCCTCCTTCCAGCACCTGACACCAAAAGCCTTTTGCTTCATCAAACCTGAAAAAGGGCACCTGTTATATATACTGCACAGGTCTACATGCCATCATCGTTCACATGGTAGGACCTGGAAGATGTAGCTCTCTGTCTTTCCAGGACATTTCTGTTGTTCTGTCACGAGGCAGAACTGATTCTTTTGGCAATTTTTTTCATGATTCAAATATTATTTCTTTATTTGTTTGTTTGTTTACAGTATTTTTATCCGACCTTTCTTAAAAAGAACCCAAGGCAGCTTACATAATTAAAAAGACAATATGTTGAAGCTAAAAACAGTAGGTATACAAATACTTTAAAAAGAATTAAACAAATATTAAATTAAAAACAGTAATAAAACCAATACTAAGATGTGTGGGAAAACAATAGAGCACAACCATTCGTTTAAAAATCCCTCTCAGCTCATCATTTATTAAGAGAAAGCTTGCCTGAACAGAAAGGTCTTTGCATACTGGCGTAAGGAGAGCAAAAAAGAGGCCAGCCTAGCTTCCTGTGGGAGGGAGTTCCAGAGTCTGGGAGCAGCAACAGAGAAGGCCCTCTCCTCACCAAATGCACCTGTGAAGGTGGCGGGACTGAGAGAAAGGCCTGGGCAAGCTCATAGAGGGAGATGCAGTCTTTTTGATAGCTTGGACCCAAGCTGTTTAGAGCTTTATAGGTTAAGACCAGCACTTTAAATTGTGCCTGGTAACTGATCAGCAGCCAGTGGAGGTGTTGTAGAAGGGGGTTTGTGTCATCCCTGTAACTAGCCCAGTCAGCAATCTGGGCACTGCATTTCTGCATTTTGGACCCTCTGGAGTTTCTGATCACTTTCCAAAGGCAGCCCCACATAGTGTTATATTAATCCAGTTGAGATGTAATCAGGGCATGTGTCACCATGGGCAGATCAGCTGTCTCAAGAAATGGGCACAGCTGGTACACTAGTTTTAACTGTGCAAAGGCACTCCTGACCACCGCTCAAACCCGGGCATCCAGGCTCAGGAGATGAATCCAGGAGCACCCCTAAGCTGCATTCCTGTGTTTTCTGAGGAAGCGTAACCCCATCCAGCATAGGCTGCATAGATCAAAGCACTAATTCCTTGATCTGCTTTTCGACTGACCAGGCAGTAGCAACTTTGTCTTGTCTGAATTAAGTTTCAATTTCTTTACATTTACTTAAGTAACATAAGGCAGATTTTCCAAGAAAGTAGAGCAAAGTATAACTTAAAAGTCCTACAACAAATTCTGGCCATTCTGAATTGTTACTGCATGTTGTGGATATACTGTATTACAACATTCATATAAAGTTCTTAAGTATCTCACTGATAAAAGTGCAGACTAAAAGCAGGCTCAGTACAAATCTTGGTTTATCTCTTGGAAACTACGCCCCTTAGCGGATAGAAGATCTTCCACACTCACCCTCCCTACCAGAACAATGCGCCCTCTCTTGGTATTATGTTTGATAGTATTACACACAAATGTGAAGCAAAGTGTCTTTGGATAGCCTACAGCAGGGGTCCTCAATGCCGGTCCGTGGGCTTCCCAAGACTGGGCTGCGGAGGTGGATTTCCACCTCCCCGCACGCACGCACAGTAGGCATGTCGCACTCATGGGGGGTCACACTTGCATGCATGCATGGGAGGGCATATCATGCTTGAGCGCATGCATGCGCAACACACCCATCCACGAGCGTGGGGTGCCCCTGTTCCCACACGCACGGAGCCCGCCCCCCCCGGTCCGCAGTTCTAAAACAGTTGGGGACCGCTGGCCTAGAGAGTATTCAAAGAACTCAACATGCATCTTTTAAAAAACAGTAAGGAATCTAAGTAGCATCTCAAATACTAATATGGTAAATCTTTGGAAACACCTTTGAAGGAGACACAACTCATTCAAGAGGAAGATGGGGAACTTACAAACGGCCCTAGTTGTGAACATTTTGGGTTACGAACCCGATCTCATCGCAAGTAGCAGACCCTACTTGTGAACGCAGATCGAGTTACGAACCCAAAAGGCAGGGAAACCTGCAAAGCCAAAAAGGCAGGGAGAAAGGGCGGGAAGTTCAAATTTCCTGCCCTTCCTCCCTGCCTTTGGAGCTTTCAAAAGGCTTCCTCCGACATTGGAGGAAGCCCTTTGAAACCTCCAAAGCAAAAAAGGAGGCAGCCCCGGCAGCATTGGGTGAAAGGAGGGAGCCGATTTCTCCCCAGCCACCCAGCTTGCTTCTTGTTTGGAGAAGCAAGCTGGGCGGCCAAGGAGAAATCAGCTCCCTCCTTTCACCTGATGCTGAGTCTCCTTCGCACCGGGCTGAGCTCAGTCCCTGGCCCGGCGCGAAGGGGACTCAGCAGCCGTGACATCGGTTGAAAAGCTGTGCTTAACCAGCACCATGGGAGGACTTCGGCTAGAACGAATTAATTGGTTTCCAATGCATTCCTATGGGAAATGCTGGCTCGATTTATGAACTTTCCAATTTATGAACTGACTTCCGGGGATTATGTTTGTAAATCGAGGGTTGATGGTACAGCATTCTTTTTTTAAAAGAAATAATAATATCTCACTGCAGGAAGTTATGATGAGGGGGCAGAAGCTTGAACTGAATACACACCCATGCAAACAAATGGCACAGTAAAGCTTTCTTCTCTTCCTCTTTCATTGTGGGGAAGCTTCCAGTAGCCCATCATACTCAAGATACTGAGGATCAAGCACTGTAGAACCAGAGCCACCAATGTTCTCTGCTACAATTTTGCTGGCAATACTTCTTCAGATTGGGCAGAGATAATGATGCAATAGCAGATGCTTTGATGCCCTTCGTCATTGTTTAGTCGTTTAGTCATGTCCGACTCTTCGTGACCCCATGGACCAGAGCACGCCAGGCCCTCCTATCTTCCACTGCCTCCCGGAGTTGGGTCAAATTCATGTTGGTTGCTTCGCAGACACTGTCCAGCCATCTCATCCTCTGTCGTCCCCTTTTCCTCTTGCTGTCACACTTTCCTAACATCAATGTCTTTTCCAAGGAGTCTTCTCTTCTCATGAGATGGCCGAAGTACTGGAGCCTCAGCTTCAGGATCTGTCCTTCCAGTGAGCACTCAGGGTTGATTTCCTTTAGAATTGATAGGTTTGTTCTCCTTGCAGCCCAGGGGACTCTCAAGAGCCTCCTCCAACACCACAATTCAAAGGCATCCATTCTTCGAATTGATGCCCTTGCCTAACTGTAAAATAACTTTGTAGCTGCATTTTCCACGTGGAGACTTCAGGAAAGTTACTGGCTTGGAATTCCAGACAGGCAATTATTATGTGGCCTGCTTCATCTGTATAGGGAGAGGCGGAGGGGGGCAGATATCCGATGTGATTCCAGTTTAGGGCTCACCTGTTGTGCCAAGTTCTAATGTGCTGCTGATACTCAGTCAAATCAAGCTTCCCTGTCAAAGAGTCTGATAATCATGGGCCACTGTTGCAGTGGTTTGTTTTGAGAATCACAATAATTTTTTTAAAAAAATACTTTACTCTATCCTTCCTTTGCACAGTGAGACTGAAGGCAGCTGACAGTAAAAAAAAATCATTACAATGAAACGACATGAGTACAATAACAACAAATCAGTCCCAATGCAGCAGTAAAGCAGTGCCACCAGTCCATAAAATGCTGCATGAGAAAATATTTTCACTGATTATGCAACACAAATCTCTCAGAAACAACTAGTGACACAAATGCTTGTCTCTGTGGGTACACTGCTCATGGTTTGAAACCAGTGACTATCTCTTGCATTTTATTCCTTTTTCTCTCCTGCATGCAGTGGAGAGAGATTCTTAGTTTCTGTGACTTCTGAAATATAGTTTAGTGACCCAGACATTTCCCTCTGGAACTAGGTGAGGAAAGAAGTGCTGAACTAGCTCCCTCTTCAGCAAACCACAGTCTGTTAGACCAGGAACATTACATCTTAGCTAAGCCATAATCGTCCAGAACTCCGTACAGAAAAAAGCAGCTACTGGAATACAGCATTGCTCTTGAAGCACTTCACACATCAACCAACCCAGTTATGGACACAGACAATGCTTACTTAAGTGCTTGAGTATAGTTGAACAGTGGTGTAATCCCCAGAAACTTTTGGATGTTCTCCATGATGGTGGCAGGGCTCTGTCTGAGTTCCTGCCCATCCGCAATCAGAATCTGAATGGGGGAAGAAACAACAAAATTTTCAGAGTAAATCTAATGAAGCAGAGTGAAGTTTTGCTGACCCTATATGAAATGTTACTGAGATATAAGGCTTGAAGTGCAAAGGCTGTAAATATGGAATATTTTATATGCCATAAATCACTTTGACCCCTTCCAAGCTGGGAAAGCAGTATGACAACTGAACTGACAAGGCAAGGACTTATGGATTGCTGCTTGGGCAATATTTACCACACAATGTTGTTTTCTGCTGACCTCCTCCTCCTCCTAAAGGTACTGAGATAATGCAATGAATTTTCTTTATCATAGATTGTTCATTGATTATTGGATGACAGGGAAAACAAAATCCAAAAACTAAGGAAATGGTTGCACTTTCTTTTCACTCTGAATTCTGATAGAAGGCTAGAAAGTCTCCAAGATTTAAACACTATTTTAACTTCTATTGTCCTGTAATCTCTCTTTGTGAAGCAAACATAGCTACATCTCCTGTCTTCTGTTCCTTGCAGGTGATAAGGTACATATATAGTAGGATAGGGAAAAAAATAAATAAAATTTGTATTAAAATGTGTAACAATCATCTTCAGAATACTACCACCCCTCTATAATAAATCATCTCTTCCTCTTCTAAAGTCTGCTGTACCTGTCCTGAAGGAAAATACATCAACCACCTCTCGAGATGTGTGGCATACAATCCAGGGTTTAAACAGCGACTCTGTAGGTAGTGCAGTTCTGGAGGGGCTTGAGGTCCTGCAGATATGATCTGGTAAAAGGTATAGTTCAGTGCCACAGGGTCATTATGAGCACGCTGGTGCTGTAGAAGTAGATATCCAAAGGAAGAATGAATTAGGATCATGCACCTCTTTTTTAAAAACATTTTATTAGTTTTTCAATCTATCTACATTCAATTTGTGCCTGTTAAACACTGTGTTATATGGGTTGCTTATAATTGTTTTTTGTGTCGTGCTATCTTCTTAGTTGTTCCTTTCAAAATCTATACATTTTTAAATGTTTAAATTTATTTATTTATTTATTTATTTGATTGATTGATTGATTGATTGATTGATTGATTGATTGATTGATATCCCGCCCATCTGGTATATTTATACCACTCTGAGCGGCTGACATCATTCATGTGTGTATTATAGTATACAATATTGCTCTCATAGTTTACAATGTTCTCAAAATCCTCTAATAACATACCTAATAAAAGTAATTCCAGTTCTAAATTTATATGATTTTGAAGTGATTTAACCGATGAACTTTGTATTTTATACCAGTAATAACTGAATAGATTCCTAACACATAATAGATGTTATCTAAATCATTTTATACAGATTTTCTTTATATAATTGTTTAGCCATTTCTATTTGCACATTTTCTATCATGTCTATATCAATATCATATCTAATGTATGTTCATTAAGTACTATTTGTTTTGCCTCTTCAATTTACTTTAAAAACCACCATGTTATGCCTTTACCCTGATTAGTGATCCCTTATTTCAGTTTAATTCCCTTTTTAAAATATATAAGATATGCCCCTTTACAATTCCAGAAGTAAGGTATATACATGCTTTCAACACTAAGGCACCTTAATATTTTTTTTCTTTTTCATCTTTTTAAGTAACTCCTCTTATTTGTCTTTTCTCAATTTTTGTTTCTATCTCTTTAAAAATTATGCTGTGCCTTGTGTCACCTGAGAACATTTTATACATTTGATCTGTCTCCAATAGATCTTCCAGGCTCTTTTTAATTAGATCTGCTGATTCACTCCCCTTATCTTCCCTTAGTACACCTAATACTCTCCTCGACTCCAGGGTTAGAATTAAATCTCCTAGGTTTTCTCCTCTAATTTCCTCCAGCCCCTTTTTTGATTGGCACACATCACCCACCACCCTCTCATTTCCTTGTTCATTATTCCCTGTCTCTTGTTGACTATAATTCTTTTTCAACTGCTTCATGAATAATTTCGCCTTTTTGTTGTGGGATCTCAGTATTTCTAAAATTGCTTGAAGGGTAGATTTTGTTTTATCCCAAAATTGTCCTTGTTCTGGCATTATGTCCCAGGTGTCAAATAACTGTATTCCAAGTGAAATTTGTCCAGATGATTAAAGTAATCAGTTCAGTTCCATCAATATTTATTTCCATAGGTCCACTTTAATAGATTGATCATCTTTAGGGTTAAGCTTGAATCCAGTCTCAAACATAAGAGTTTTCCCTGCCTAAAGGCTCAAGGTCCAGTCAAGTTCAGAACACAGAACACAGTTTAGAAATTCCACTTTCGCTGGATTGGGCTTTCTAGGGTTAATTTACCTGTAGTTCAGTTCCTTCCTCAAAAAGAAAGAGAATTCCAAACAGCCATAAAGTATTAAAGGTCACTGATTCTAGGCTTTTTGCTAGCACCCTAAGATAGCTGTTTCAAGTAATATAAATAAGTTTCCCAAAGTTGTTTCCAATGATGTTTTCAAGAGATTCTTCAGTTTATAACGACAAATACCAACTTTCCTTCTTTGATGTACAATTAAATGTCTAATTAATGTCCAATTTATTTTCCTTGTGTCTCCCTGAGTCTCTTCCTCTCTCCAGATTTACCACTGCTCAATCAGTGGTGGGGGACAGAAGACGCTATTTCTGCCGTAGCCCAGGGATAGTAAAGCAATACAGTTAAAAAATGTTTCTCACCCAGTGGTAAAGGTAAAGGTTCCCAACTCTAGGGCGTGGTGCTCATCCTTGTTTCCAAGCCATAGAGCGAGCGTTTGTCGGAAGACAGTTTCTGTGGTCAAGTGGCCAGCGTGACTAGACACGGAACACAGTTACCTTCCCACCGAGGTGGTACCTATTTATCTACTTGCATTTGTATGCTTTCGAACTGCTAGGTTGGCAGGAGCCGGGACAAGCGATGGGAGCTCACTCCGTCACATGGATTCAATCTTATGACTACTCATCTTCCGACTTTGCAGTACAGAGGCTTCTGTGGTTTAACCCGCAGCACCACCATGTCTCAGTGGTAACATGATGTTAATTAGGCTGATTTATCACTTCTTCATTGCTGGCTGCCAACAACTTGCAAGCAAGCTGGTTCAGCTGCTTGTTTCCACCTGCTGGCTGATTGGGGAGTTTCCCAGATCAAACGTGGGTAACTGCCATTCCCCCTGTGATCAACAGGCTTCTCCCCCTTTTCACCACCTCTTTGAGGTGGTTTTAACCCCTGGAGAGTCCCAAACAGGTCAGAATTCAGCCGAGGGGACGGAGCTCCATCCTCCTCCTGCTGTCTCGTCACAGCATCAAGCAGGAACAGGATCATGCACCTCTTTGCAACTCACAATAGCAGCAAACATATACATTACAATATCCCCAACATCCCAGCAGTTAACTAACATACACTACTCACATAAAGCCAACTGTTGTTAAGGAGTTACCTGATACCAGGAGTATGCTCGGTCAGCTGGGTTTATCAGAATGACAATGATTTTGGCTCGGGGAAGGAGTGCTGCACTTCGCTTCGGTACCACTTCTGTATCAAAATAATTGGCACTTTTCTCAAACATGAAATCTGTGCTGGCATTAGAGGGGATGGGAAAAAACTCCATGTACCTGTCATGTAATCAAATACAGGGGAGCATGAGAAAGCATGAACAATAATACAGATAAAGAGCAAGTTTCCACTGGAATCTAGCAGGGGTTGGCAGCTTCTAGCATCTTGCTCTGAGCTATGGCAGAAAAGAAGGGGTTTTTTTGTCTAATATTATGCAACACAACCATCATTCCCCAGTGTGGCAGCAGGGAGTGGCAGAGTTATGTGGGCATCTGGCTCTGTTATGGCCCCCACAGGAGTTAGATTGGAAGACAGATTCCCCCTGGCTTCTCCTGGATAGGGAGATTAGGTCACTCAAATTATTAAGACCTGAAGCGATGGTGGATTCAGCTGAAACTGAAAGGAGGGCCTGCCTTTCAGGAAAGCAAAGTCTGGCATGTGCTAAAGTACTGCCTCCTTTGCTGTGAACAAGAAGCTGAAAGTCATAGCTGTCAAAGAGCAAATGAACTGCCAATCCAAACTGGGTTCTTGATCATTTTAAGTACATATTCTTCCTTTTCACAGGCTGATGACATAGCAGACTGAACAGTAAGGCTAGTGTAGGTTGACATATATGGCATGAAGAGCCATGGGAAATGATTCTAATGACAACCAGTTTGACTGAACCTTTCACGAAATGGTTTGCAAATCCATAAAGCTTTCTGATGAGTGCCCTGTCCATCTGTCCAGCAAGAATCAGAAAGCCGTTCATAGCACTTGGACAAAGCATGTGGTAAATCAGTCCTACACTTACCAATCAATTCCTTTATGATAATTAGGTCCGTTAAAAAACTGGATCTCTTCATAGGTGGAAGGACTTGGAAAATTACTTGTAACAGCTGGATGCATGGACAGGAAAAAATGCACAGCTGTTGTGCCTGCCACAAACAACACAAGAAGAATTCATAAGTGAAAGCAATTTACTGTGATCTGAAATGCAAAGCAGCATTTCCTAACATGCCGAAGTGTTCGCTCTGGACCAGAACTGTCTTCTTTCCCTTATGCTCAACCCAAGGAGAGGTGCAAGGTCCCAGGACATCCCCAGGACATTGAGATCCTCTAGGGGATGGTTTATTGAAATGCCAGTTGCAAGTTAAAACATTAAGGTGGATAATTTTGAAGCAAAAAAGAGTCCGGCTGCCTCCAGACAAGGTTTATTGTGTACTTGCTCCAACTCATTCAGACTTTTACAAGGGGCTCGGTTATCATCAACATCCATTTGTAACCCTGCTATTCTCTCCACTACATCTCTCTTTCACCTTACCAAAGACAATCTAGTACGAAGGGAAAAGATGGGACAGTGTGCTCTGGGGGATGTTACATAGGCTAATAAGAACATGACTTTAAACATAACATAACTGCGTCCCTATCTTGATGTGGGGTTGCTCACCACTTTGGTCCATGCGCTCGTAGTCTCAAGATTAGACTACTGTAATATGCTCAACGTGAGGCTGCACTTGAGACTGCCGTGGAAACTTCAGATGGTACAAAATGTGGCGGCCAGACTTCTTATATGGGTGAAAAGGTACCAACATATTTCCCCCACGCTGGCTGCCTTGCATTGGCCCATTCGTTTCCGTGTTTATTTCAAAGTTCTTACAATTACATATAAAGACCTAAATGGTTTAGGACCTCGATATCTGGCAGAGCTCCTTCTCCCACCCAGTTTTGCCAGAGTCATTCGTTCCAGCCAGACCGGGCAGCTGAGGGGCCTAACGCCGAGGGAGGTCCAGAGGAAAAGGATGAGGAATAGGGCCTTCTCGGCACTGGCCCCTCGCCTTTGGAACAACTTATCAGTGGTGATCCACCTGGCTCCCTCTCTGGGTGTTTTCAAGAATAGACTTAAAACCTGGCTATTCAGGCAGGCTTTCCCTCCTGCCATGTCTTAATTTCTTATACTTCACCATCTTGGGCCTATAATATATGTTTTTTGTTTTAAATTTGTAAACTGCCCAGAGCACACCTTTGGTCTAGATGGGCAGGACAGAAATCAATCAATCAACCAATCAACCAATCAATCAACCGACCGACCGACCGACCAACCAACCAACCAACCAACCAACCAACCAACCAACCAACCAACCAATCAGATTAATTGGGCAACCCAGGGGAATTCAAGATAATGAACAACATTTTTTAATATTTCAAAACTCAGATTTTTCTCTCTCTCCTAACAACTGCCCCCCTCAAATAATTAAGGGACAAGCAATGGTGTGCTCTCCAAATGTTTTGGATTCAAATTCACATAACCCCATATTACTAGACATGTTGAGTAGGCATCCTATCCTGCATTCAAGGTGAACACCAAGCTTAAAAAGATGTGATTATTAAGTGATAAAGAATGAAACTTCCAAGTGTAGATTAGCATCCCTCTATAAAAGAAAGGGGATACAGCTGTACATATACTGAGAGGAAGAAAAATATACCTGAGGATTAATACACAACCTTACCAGTTTTTTGAGGACCAACAATGAGAAACTTGGGAAGCCGGTCACATGTCTTCTCTTTAGACCAAATGTCCTTATGTCGCTTGTCATCACAAGGATTCTACATCACATAATTAAGTAAAGCATGAGATAATAATCTATATTATGCAAAGTAAGCCAGGACTACATTAGCATTACCGCAAGCCTCCCCTCTCAAGTCTGGTTTTCAGCATGCACATAAAGATATTTTTTCAGCCTCTCCAGACCATTACTACAATGCTGGCATTGGTGGGTGGATGGCAGATTGGGTGGGGGAACTTGCTGGACTCTGCTGTTTAACTATACCCTGTTCCTTTATTGAAAAACAAAGTTAAACAGAATTTTAAATATATCAAAAAAGATTTAAAACATTAATTTGTCCATATATTACATGCACAAATTCAACATGTTAATAAAACCATATCTGGAGGTTAGTCATGTTATTTGAGAAAGATCCTTTATAAAAAAATCAATGTGAGATATATCAAATATGAACATCTTTAATTATTCATGTCCATAATGGAAACCCAATCTGTCAAGTCAAGGAGAAAAACAACTGACCAGCTTCCCAATATTTCCCAAACTACTCTAAAGATTATTTAAAGAAGAATATGAGGTCCATCCTGAAGAGATGTCCTGCAACCTCAAAGCAGGGCACCCAAGATGCACCAAGCCAAAGCAATCATAAGAAGGAATGGTGTTTATAACCATTTCAGAAAACAAGAATGTTAGAAAAAGGAGATCACCACCAGTGGGCCATCAGTCAATCATGAAAAATGAATGATCCTTTACCATTATCCTTGGGAAGGGAAGAAGGTGAAAGAGTGACACTGGGGTATCACTTCAATTTTAATGCAGAATCAAATACTTTTGGAGTGTATCTATGATATACAGTTAAAGCAGTTTGATTCTACTTTAAGTGCCATGACTTGATAATATGGAGTGCTGAGATTCTTTGCCAGAGAATTCTAAGGCTACTCCTATCCTCTCAAACAACAGGAGAGAATCCTCTTTACCTCACCAAGCTATAGACCTCAGCATTCTACAGGATGAAGGCACGACAATCAGAATGGAATCAAGTAGCTTGTTGTTGTTTAGTCGTTATGTCATGTCTGACTCTTCATGACCCCATGGACCAGAACACACCAGGCCCTCCTGTCTTCCACTGCCTCCTGGAGTTTGGTCAAATTTATGTTGGTAGCTTCAGTGACACTGTCCAACCATCTCATCCTCTGTCGTCCCCTTCTCCTCTTGCCTTCACACTTTCCCAACATCAGGGTCTTTTCTGGGAGTCTTCACTTCTCATGAGATGGCCAAAGTATTGGAGACTCAGCTTCAGGATCTGTTCTTCCAGTGAACATGCAGGGTTGATTTCCTTCAAAATGGATAGGTTTATTCTCTTTGCAGTCCAGGGGACTCTCAAGAGGCTCCTCCAGCACCACAATTCAAAAGCATCAATTCTTCGGCGGTCAGCTTCTTTATGGTCCAGCTCTCACTTCCATACATCGCTACTAGAAAAATGATAAGTTTTGACTATGCGGACCTTTGATGGCAAGGTGATGTCTCTGCTTGTTAAGATGCTGTCGAGGTTTGTCATCACTTTCCTCCCAAGAAGCAGTTGTCTTTTAATTTCGTGGCTGCTGTCACCATCTGCAGTGATCTTGGAGCCCAAGAAAGTAAAATCTGTCACTGGCTCCATATCTTCCCCTTCTATTTGCCAGGAGGGGGTGGGCCAGTGACCATGATTTTAGGGTTTTTTTTGATGTTGAGCTTCAGACCATTTTTTGCACTCTCCTCTTTCACCCTCATTAAGAGGTTCTGTAATTCCTCCTCACTTTCTGCCATCAGAGTGGTATAATCTGCACATCTGAGGTTGTTGATATTTCTTCTGGCAATCTTAATTCCGGTTTAGGATTCATCCAATCCAACCTTTCGCATGATGTATTCTGCATATAAGTTAAATAAGCAGGGAGACAATATACAGCCTTGTCGTACTCCTTTCCCAATTTTGAACCAATCAGTGTTTCCGTATCCAGTTCTAACTGTTGCTTCCTGTCCCACATATAGATTTCTCAGGAGATAGATAAGGTGGTCAGGCACTCCAGTTTCTTTCAGAACTTGCCATAGTTTTTTGTGGTCCACACAGTCAAAGGATTTTCGTAGTCAATGAAGCATAAGTAGAAGCATCATCTGGAACTCTCTGAGTTTCTCCATAATCCAGCGCATGTTAGCAATTTGGCCTCTTGTTCCTCTGCCCCGTCGAAATCCAGATTGTACTTCTAGGAGTTCTCGGACCACATACTGCATCCCATAGATTCTCTGAATTACTCAAGCCCCTTCACCATGAAAAGGCAGCAATCCATGAAGGGGATCAAGTAGCTACATCTGTGTAATTGCAGATGCACTCCTAGAACCAGATGGAATCCTGGAAGTTATCTAGTTCAACCCCTTGCTCAAAGCAGTATCTTTCCTGCAATGAAAGCCTCCCTGGAAGATGGCCATCCAGCATCTGCATAAAGACCAAACTAAACTAACAAAACCAGCTTGGTTTTTATTACAATTGTGGCTGGATGGAGTAGGCGAATCTCTTTCTACTTAGACACGGTCCAGGTGGACTTTTAGTAGAGCCTCAGTATACCAGCAGGGGATGGACATGTTCCAGTTCCTCACCAGTTGTACTACTTGGCTAACTGCTTGGAAAACTGAATTCATGTAGAGAGCCTCCATGGATATAGGCAGCTTCGCCCATGAGAGAGTCTCCCTTCACATGTAGAGGGCAACAGAAATTCCAATGGAGGAAGCAGGCCAGCATGCATCTCCTCCTCAAGCTTTACTATAACCAGAATCCCACTGTCTTCAAAAGGTTTATTCAGATAGTCTTTAGGGCACAAAACAGGGTTTGTTTCTGCTAGCATACCATACACCCCACTTGGACTTTTTGACTGAGCTTGCAAATATCCTCTTCACTGTGCTGTTGAGGATTTTTAAGCTTCTAGTGCCGAAAAGGCTAACATTTGTGCCAATGCTCCCCTTTCAGGGACTGCTCAGGATGTTATGACTGCTACGAGAAGCAAATGCATATCTAGGCTGCCAAGACATACACTGGCTCTAGTGTTCAATGTTCTGGGTGATGTAGGGAGATCCTGTTGCACAGAAGTGTTTTGACTGCCTCCAGCAGGACCAATCAGTAGGCCTCACTTCTTTGTTTCTGGTTTTCACAATGATCTTGCAGCTTTCTCAGCTGATACCAAAAGCCTTCTTGCTCAGCTGTGGACAACAGAACTCACAAAATCAGCAAAATGGCTTCAGGCCATAAAACTTCTACTCTGTCCCCTGAGAAGTCGGAGAATATGGGGGTTCATCTCATGTCTTGTAACACTTGCACATCACTAGTAATGGAAATTGCTAGGGGCTCTGAGTGAATGGACAATATACTTCCATGTGTAACTCTGGACCAGTAGAAGAAAAATGTATGAACTACTTAATGTCCACTCTGCTTGGAAGTCCTTAACTTTTTTCAAGTTTAGAGTAAGATCTTCAGCTGCAGCCTGGTTTGTGAGAAATTGTCCTAACCATCATGCAGAAAACCACAGATATATATTGACTGCACTTCTATTTATTTATTGTTTTAGAATAATGTTTACATTATTTTGATTTGTCTTATATTGTAAATACATTTTTATATGAATTACCAGGGACCATTGTTATATCAAGCAGAATATAAGATAACACAACACAGTATAACATAAACATTGCTTTCTCACCTGCCACAAAGGATTCTTTTCTTCTGAAAATATTTCAAAATATTTTTTGGCGAGCTGGATAGGAGGAAGCGTCTGAAGTCGGAGGTTGGTCCAGCACTGCACAAATTTGACAAGGCTTTCAAAAGTGTAGAGCCCCAGCCGGTCATTCCCATAATTGGACAGGTGTGTCATGAAGATACTTATCTACAAAGATGGAAGTAAAATGGAGGCATTTATTAGTTTTACCAGCAAAACTAATGCCACTGGGGTGTTCCTCTATGCTTCCTACTCTCTTCATCTGATGCTGCACAGGACAATATGAATCTTTTACACTAGTATTCACATCATCTCTCTTGTGTAAAAAGTAAGAAATCTTTACTCTAAATCCACAACCCTCAAGCCCACATTAACCTGGTTCTTTAGGGGAAGAATTAGAGACCTCTCTCTACACTATACACAACTTGGTGCATGGTTTAATTCAGCTTAAGGCTCATGTTCCTAAGGGTACTGTTAGTTAGTACTTAACAGTACACCTCTATGTCCTTTTTAATGCCATATCATAATCCAAGAGGGCTTCAGTAAATGTTCTTGATTGGTTTTGCAGGGTCCAAAGCACCTACCAACTCCTAAGGTCTAAAACAAAATTCAAGTGAAGATAAAGATAAGGAGTCTTTTATCTCCCAATCCATGGTTTTATATGTGATTGTCATTGTGTAGAGGCAGTGGGTAATCAACACTGCCATTACAACAAAAGCAAAGCAGAAATAAAAAGTACTGTGGCAGCTTAAAGGTGTCACAAAACTTTTTTAAAAATGGTTAGTCTGTTAGTTTTTAGTTTATTTGCTGAAACAGACTAACATGGCTAGCTCTCTGATCATTGCAACTGGTTATCAAGATTCACATTTTATCTGAGAAGATGAGTGAGGACAGGAAAGACAGGGAGGGTACACAGTATTTACTGTCCCTCTTCCACTAACATTTAACAAATGATAAAAATGAAACTCTAAGTAAAAGAAAAGATTAGCAAATGTAGGAGAGCTTCTTGTTTAACTAAGGCTTTCAGTGGCACAGGAGGCCTTTTATGCTCCCTCCCGTCCAGAGGAATCCAATGATCAGTTGTGGGGGATGGAATAAATTCAGAGTCCAATCATGCTTTACCAAAAAGCTTTCACCTTCAGTTCACGAGTTCCCCACAAAGGTCTGCTCTGCACAGACTCAGTACCTCCTGATGGGGGAAGGGAGATTAATAGGAGGAGAGGCTGATGCCATACAAAAATATTTTTGCTCAAGCATCCACATTGTGAAGCACAAAAAGACCGACATATACAGGGACCCAAAACTGCAGCACGTACTGGGTTCAAGAGCACTGTCAGGAAGAGTTCGCCACCACGAATGCTTTTATCTAGCTCCTTTGAGCCACCAGGATATTCATTATAGAAGATGGTATGTGTGAACAGACCACATGTCTGTCGAGGTAACACCTAAATGAGTCAGAAGGATAAGAAAGATTAGCAAGAGCTGCAGGAATCTGGCTGTGAATCTCCAAAGACAATTATCAGTGGGGAAAAAACAAAGTAGACAGTACAGCTGAAAGTCTGGAACCTGATACTACGGAGATACTATGCTCTAATATGGCTACTCTGCTCTGAAAATGTATGCACTGTTAGAAGTAGTGACTGAGAATACTTGGGCAGAGGACCATCTCCCTACTGTGTTTCCCCAAAAATAAGACAGGGTCTTATATTAATTTTTGCTCCAAAAGACACATTAGGGCTTATCTTCAGGGGATGTTTTGTGTTTTTTCGTGTACAACAGTCTACATTTATTCAAATACAGTCATATCATATTCTTCTTGTTACTGCACGATGATGGAGGGTGGGGTGTTACTTGAATGGGGCTTATTTTTTTGGGTAGGGCTTATATTACGAGTATCCTGAAAAAATCATACTAGGGCTTATTTTCGGAGAAACAGGCTAAGCTTAAGATAAATCTGCACACATGCATGCACTTTCTAATATTAACTATCAATACATAACACAGTTAGTCTTCAATGGACTCCTCCCCCTCCACTCCCCATGCACGTACCTTTTCCTGAAATTTTTTGTTTTGTTTTTATTTATATCTCTGCAAACCCCTGATTTACTTCAATCACGTCTCTTCTCATAACATAACAGGCTACACAATTTTGGGCACTTCAAAGAAAGTTTGCCACTATTATACAACATCAAATATCTCTATACCGCCCCCCTACAAGGGAACCATGATGGAATTATTTTATTAATTCATTTGGAAGTCTTCCTGTATCAGATCCCATATACTGGCCAAAATCTTATTGCTCAGCATAGTGAGTCACATTAGAGTAGGCCCACTGAAACAGCGGGGTTTTGATGAAATCAACTTTTCCATAAATTCAATTCATTCAATTTGGCCGACTCTAATTGCAACTTCCTGTGCTGAAGCAGACCATAACTAGAGTCGCCATATTTGAATAAACGGAACTTAAGGAGTTGATTTGCCAAATCTCCATTGATTCAGTGGGTCTTCTTTAGTGCAACTTAATACATCAAGAGAGAGAATTTTAGCCACTGTGAGATATAGATCAGACTGAGTGAACACTAGAGAACCTGCATTCTCTTCTCTCTCTTTATTTTGAGAACTTCAGGAAATATTCCTGTTCCAAACAGAATAGCCACTTTATCTTTTCTCTCTAGGAAAATCAATAAGGGCATTATGACCTCACCATGATCCCATTATGGATGAACCCTCGTCGGTACCGAGCAGGCCGAAGGTGGGGATATTCCTCAGTGCTGGTCACTTGAATACCCCAGACAGCTTTCCATGCCTCATAGAGCTGTGCATGGACAGGGTAAACACCTGAGTGATGAGGGGCTACAGCATAGCCCATATCTGTAGGGATTCCATGTTCCTGGAAAAACAACACACATTTCAAGAATTCCATATTCATTGCACTTGCTGGCAGTCAACTGAATGAAAGCAGGCCAGTTAATAGCAACTAGCTGAAGGGTAGGATATAAATGTAAATGCAAACATAAACACAAACAAAAGGAAAGATTCTGGTTTATGGCTCAATACATTTGGCTAGGTTTGTAAATAGCTGCCTGACTGTGGAGAGCAAAACTGGTTTATTTGGCACATCCTTAGGATGACTTTGGAGTTCATCAGCAATGGTCAAATGTATGGCCAAAACAATCCCAGTAAGTTGCTCCCTTACCAAAGCAAACTGCTTGTTGAGCTTCATCTGTTCGGCTAGCACAGTGACATTGTGAAAGAGATGTGGCTGCATGTGACTCCACATGTGGGGAAACCACCAGAACTCCTTCCTGTGCTTTAGCAGCATGTCATCCCCTTCATCTTCC